GTGTTTCTGCTGATGGGAACTTGGGTCCCCTCGCAGTGCGGGTGCAGCGAGCCGTTTGGCTGATGCAGAGCGGAGTGCACGTGTTGGGGCGTACGGTTTAACCATGTCCTGGATTTAGGAAGGGCCAGATCCATTCACTGCATGGTACGCAAGTACCAGTGTCTTGAAGTGGATTCTAGCAGTTACCGGAAGCCAGTGAAGGGAGCGGAGGAGCGGGGTGGTGTGGGAAAATTTAGGAAGGTTGAAGACCAGACGAGCCGCTGCATTCTGGATGAGCTGCAGAGGTCGGATGGCACATGCAGGTAGACGAGCCAGGGGCAGTAGTCTAGGCGTGAGATGACGAGAGCCTGGACCAGAACCTGCGTCGCTTTCTGGGTCAGCTGGGGACGTATCCTCCTGATGTTGTAAAGCGTGTATCTGCAGCAGCGGGTTGTAGCAGCGATGTTTGCAGTGAAGGACAGTTTGTTATCTAGGGTCACACCCAGATTCCTTGCAGTCTGAGTCGGGGAAACGATCGAGGGGCCGATGTTGATTGTTAGGTCAAGAGTGGGACAATCTTTTCCCGGAAGGAAAAGCAGTTCAGTCTTGTCAAGGTTGAGCTTGAGGTGATGAGCAGACATCCACTGAGAGATCAAATGCTCCGGGGAAGTAACTGAAAGTAACTTTTTGTGGATATTGCATCGACCGACCTGGAAGCACGTCTCCTTGGAGAGGACGCGCACCGATAGAGAGAGATTCTCTTCAACACAGGGTGAGATCGCTCCTTTGTGCCACGCTGAACTTCGTATTGTTCTTTTTGTGGATTATAGCCTGAAAAGGCCTACAAACATTTCTGTTTTTGCCGCCGACGGGCACAGGAGCAACAGCTTTTTTTTAATCAATGAACTATGGCCTGGATTAGGCAGTAAAGACAATTTCAGTGTATCGAGAGTGGACTTTTTGTTTGTTTTGTTTGTTTGCTCAAAAACTGTAAATACACTTGAGTAACGCAGAGAACCTGTCTTTGTTTATTTTGTGAATGTGTGCATATAGACTTTAGTTAATACCTAGTTCCGTGGGGACTATTTTGTGGAAAGAGCAGATTGTCCGTTTATCAGTTCTGTTTACCTTTATAATATTATTTCATTCAAGAACCCCTTGTGCGTTTAATTAACACAACTATTTTAGATAGTTGATCGGTACAGCGGGAACATTTCAAAAAGGCATGCTTCTGTATGATGCATGTTCACTTTGAGCACATTACAGCAAATCATAGCTTTTCAATGAATGAATGTTTTATTTGTCATTTCTTTTTCACTTGTATAAGCTAAGAGTAGAAGATGGGTAATCCTTAACCTCTATGTAATAACCAGACATCAACAGAAGCAGACAATGTTTACTGTGACAAAGGATGTAAGCTTTGTACATTGTGACTGGAAAGCATAAAAAAAACATGAATTTAGAAAATAGGAATCAGGACAATTGTAGAAACCTGCAAAAAAAAAACAGCTCTGTTGATTGATAACAGTTAAGGACAGCTTTCGGCCACTGACCTCCTTGAGTCTCTCCTCCCACAGCTCCCGGCCCTGCCCCTCCATCATGTGCAGCCCCGACAGCACCACCAGCTCCGGATCAAACTCCTCCAGACTCTCCACGAAGGTCTCCAGGGAGCTCATCTCTCCGTTGGACACATCGTGAGAGAAGATGAAGCGGTTGGCTTGAGGTGCCTGCGTCGAACCCCACTGTTCACCTTGAGACAGAAAATCACTTTTATATGAACACATCTTAACAGACTAAAGGAATCCTGAAGCTGCAGCTTGCTCTTCTTCTCACCTGCTTTATACTCCAGGATGAGGTGATACTCATCCGTCTCCTGCATGGAACCCGGGGGAACGACTATCTGCTCGTCCAGCATCTCGTGAAGTTTAGGACCGATCGGCCCACATAACAAAACCTGTCAAATACAAATACAAGTCATTTCAAGCTGGGGTTTTATTTACAATACAATACAACGTGACTTCCTGATTAAATAAAGTACTTATTTGGTGTAACTTGCTACGACTTATGCACGTTTTTTGTGGTATTATTTGGTTGTATGATTTTGATTTTTTTTTTTTGATTTTTGATTTTGATTTTGATATACTTTATTAATCCCCGTGGGGAAATTGTTTCTCTGCATTTGACCCATCCTAGTGTTAGGAGCAGTGTGCTGCCATTTTGAACGGCGCCCGGGGAGCAGTGTGGGGAACGGTGCCGTGCTCAGGGGCACCTCGGTAGCACTTGGTCTTGCCGGGACTTGAACTGGTGACCTTCCAGTTGCCAAGCCAAG